GTGATTCTGCAGAACATGCGAGTTTGTTCGCCAAAGAGTTAGGAAACCTATTGTAAGGTTGTCCTACTATGAAGAATTTGAGAGTTCAAATTTCTAACTATTATGATAGCTGATGACAACACTTTGGTATGTGTGTCTCGTCCAATGGTCATATCGGCCCCTCAGGTTGTGACCCCAGCTATAAATAACCTCTACCTCCAATCATTTGAGGTTGGCTGCTCCGCGTGATTCGAGACAAGTGTTGTTTGAGCAAACCACCTTCTGAATTTTTTTGAGTAAATCATAAGTGCGGAAAAACCTTAGAGCCTAATAGATAAACGATTGAGTACCACTGAAGAAAGTTCACTAAACACTTCTTAATACTGAAGACCGAGCATCTTTGAGATGGTTAAGTGTTCGTTCAGAGCATCCAGCCTATGGATTTGCCGAATAAAAAGTTTGTGACGATCTGAAGATCACCGCAAGATCTACCACGAGCGTTGGGCGAGTTCTAAGTGAGCTTGGCTCAAAGAGAATAAGGTGAGGGCTTTCGTGTCTTCCGAGCTTTGGCACAACCCCTCCAACCAGACGTAGAGTTGTGCCGGCAACTTGAACTGAGTCAACAAATCATATATGTCTTCACTCCATTTATTAACTCTACTTTACTTTGTGCATTATGCCTCGTGTAAAGAATTTGCTTCCTTCTCTCTCTGAAGACTTTTTCTGAATACTTATCTTTCCCGTTGCTATGCACTATGCTTAGTTATGTTTTCAGTATTGTTGTATTGAAGTGTTTCTGCCTCTTCATTAGACTATTTTAGTTATACTATTACTGCTACTTCATTTCCATGCCATCATCTGTTTTGTTATCATTGTTTCAGTTTTGATCGCACGTATGTTTAAGTTTACTGCTGCCTAGCTTAAGTTTTCCTTTAGTACTTCTTCGGTATTAGTTTGTATTGTTTTTTTTCCTGATTACTTTGTTTTCTTCGAAGAATTAACCCTTTTGGAGTAGCTCTTTCAAAAAAATTGTTGAAATCTTACATTCACCCTCCCTCTGGTTGATTAACTTGATCTTAACGAAAAAGGGTTTCCCCGCTTTATGTATAAAGCATCATCTCCGATTACAACTGATAGACCGAACAACGCACACAACGCACACACCCAAGGCAAGATACAAAGGTGCCGGGCACCGACACACCACTCCACCGACAACAATAGAGAGGTGAACCGGACAACAACGAAGCCAGACCTCCAAAGCGATGCCTCCAAGAAGGGTACGACCATGGATAGTCGCCACCGCCCGATCCGTGAAGATCAGGTTTTCACCCGGAGCAAGGCGGTAAGAGTGGGAACGCCGCGACGGAGCCTTCAGGAAGGGTACGGCGTCAATTGCCGCCACCGTCGGCCAGTCAAAGGACTGGGCAAGTGGTGTACCCCGACGCCCACACTCCACCGTCGCACCCTAACTCCGCCAACCACCCGCAACCACGCCACCTGCGAGGCCATGGATGCGCGCCCGCACCTGAGACGCACGCTCCGTCCGCAAACGTCGCGCCTCCCGCCGCCAGAGCCGCCGCCCTGCAACCAGACAACCCCGAGACCTACACAAAGGCCCTGGCTTTGGACCAACCGACGGCCCTCAATCGACAGATTCACCCGCAGACGCTCCGCTGGAAGACCTATGCCAACCCGTCCGCGGCCGAGGGACGTGGGAGAAAGGGGAGCGAACAAATCCGGACCGGCACAGTATCTTAGATAATTAGTTTTGCAAGTGAACATTTTCTTTACCTTCCTTTCTGTAAAATCTTCAAACCATGTCAGACATTCACTATCATGCATAATATGTATGCTATTGTTTACTTTTCTGCTTTATGTTGGACTAATTTTTTTTACTTGGAATTTGAACATAGAGCATATGTGTTGGAAAACATGGATCCACCACACCGGTGCCCATGTGGCCATGTCCAGAATTAACTGTAATGCACATAGAACAGATGGAGTACATTATTGTTTCATAAAAAGCATAGCCCTTACAGGTTACAACATGGTGTCATTTATTGGGAAGAGAACATATACTACTACAACTCATTGTGATAATAATGGTAGTAAAAGAAGCCCCAACCCCCGGTGACGAGAGTTCAGTCTTGGCCTACTCAAATGCCGCCGTTCCCTGGCAGCCGCCGTAATTCTTGGCGAATCACCACTTCTTCAGGCAATCTGAAAACTCACAGCGATATATATGTTAGTATCGGCAGTATAAACCGAAAGGAATGAAGAAAAGAACTTAGAATTTGATTAGAGAAAGTTGTCTTTGCCTTGAGATGCCTCTTGGCAGCATCAAGCAAGGTCAGCGGGACATTTTTGGTTTGCTTATAGGCTTCGATCTTGTTCATCTCCTCGGTGTATCTCTCAAGGTTGGGCCTGTCTTTGGCGATCTCGTAGTTCCTCAGGTGAGAGTAGTATATCTGAACCCTCTCCAAGATGGTCACGTACGCAATATCCACCTGCAAGTAAAAGGAGTTGAAGCAAGCATTACCACAAACATTCCTGTGGAAATCAAAGCAGAACACATTTGGTTTAAGCTCGAACGGATTAGCATATAGTACCAAGCTAAATTGGCCAAGGAAGAACGGGCCGTCACTGAACTTGGACAGGGCAGCTTCGATCTTGTCTAGAGCAGCAACTGGTGAACAGAAGGATGTAATTAGTCCGAAACGATGTGCCTATGATTCAGAAAGTAGTCGCGGAGATGATTGTCAATTACCAGCTTCATCTGAAATGGCCACTTGGGAGATCAAGGGCGAGTAGAGTGCTTTGGTAAAGGCGTCAGCGTAAGCAATCAGCTCATCGGCGAACTGCCTCTTAGCCGGATCCTGGCAATCGACACATCCAAAGATTACAGCAAGACTGAAACATCATTTTCTTCCCTACAGTGAATGGGCTATATCATCTGATCTTACTTGAGGAAGCAGTGCCGGGCCTTGGAAATTGGTGTCGATGTACTTGATCAAATCCAAGCTCTCTCCGGTGACCTTGCCGTCGTGCTCCAGGGAAGGCACCTGTATATGAAGTGGAGGGATGATGATGAAGGTATAAGCATTGGGATGGTGCGAGAATAGGAGGGAATTCGATCCAGGGACAGATGATCATATGTATCGGTGAAGTGTGAGTCGGCGCGTACCGTGCCCTGTGGGTAAACATTCTCCTTGTACCATGCTGGTTTGTCCTCCAGATTGATGGCGACAAGCTTGATCTCCTCCTGCAGACCCTGCAGAGAACGACGCACGGAAAAGAACAGGGTTTCAGTTTCTTTTTCTTCTCCACGCAAGGTTCAGTGATGGATGGAAGATGTGACTTGGCATCGGCTGCAAGTACCTTGCAGTTCCGGGTAACCCAGGCGCGCTGAGCAAACGGGCAGGTGTAGCAAATGTACAGTCTTCACGTACGTACGTACGTACGTCGCCGCACATAATCAACCGACAGTTAGTTTAGTATAAGTAGTTAGCTCATGGAATGGATCCCGATGGATGCAGAAGTGAAGCTTACTAGTGGTGGTTGTAGGTGGTTACCTGGTGGTGCCATCGAAGAGGGTAGGGGGCTCGGAGACGGCGCCCAGTGCAGGCGGGAGCACTTCTTTCGTGGAACTGCAGCACACACACACACCACCGTCTCAATTACTCCATGTATAAAATGATGCAAGTACAACTATACATACCTAGGCGCTGAAGTAATCAGAGTAATCACGCACCTGGCTAGTGCTGCAGCTGCGGCCATTGCGAGTACGTGGTAGGGACGTGACAAGTGTAAGAGGCAGTGGTTGCTCGAGTCGTCTGAATGAGTTTCTGATGCGTTGGTCTGGTGACTGGTGAGCGAGTCGTCCCGGGTATTTATGCGTCGCCGGGAGGAGATGTGGGAGCCAAGTTGGCGACTGGAAATGGGATGACGGAAGGAAGGAAGGTCTCTTCCGGCTAATCGTACGTCTCCGTCAGTTCGTGATCGTGCACCTAGCTATCTGTTGGTCCCACCAAATCGGGCTGCGGTGTTTTGTCGCTTTTGACGTGGGTGACGTAACTGATTGGGTCATCATCCTCAGCGGCAGGCCCCGGCTGGTATAATGACGTTTGTTCTCAGCATTGACGTAATCGATTGGGTCATCTTTCGGAGGCGAATCTGCTTCCGGTAGAATGGCTGCCACTGCTATTTATTTATTGAGTTAAAAGCACTGTGTCCTATAACTTGCTCAGGATATGATGATTTAGTCCTAAAACTTACAAAATGAATCTATCCAGTCCCACAACTTGCAGCCAACGTGCAACTTTGGTCTTAGACCAATCAGAGCTCGACAACTGGACTGCTTGGGCCCAAGCTGGTCAGCGCACGCC